AAGTCGCTATAGTGGCCAATTTACTTTATTATTATTATTGCTGTATTTATGCTTTTTTAAAGCATATTTTATTATTATATTAAATGGTCAACACCGTCAAAATGTCTAGTCTCCAACCCAAAATGAAGTTTTACAGAGGACACTATTAGGGACATGTAGCTGGTCTTTGGCTGCTGTGGTAACTCACTCTAATGGTTTACATAGATGATAAACACAGATGAGCTCGCATTCAAAATGTATCTGGAAATTATATTATAACTTTAATGGTTTCTAGTCGCTCATCTCAAACTCATCTTTTTAAAACTGGCAGGAGGAGAGCTGGTAATGCTAGCAGCACTGGAGCTAACGGCTAATGTACGTAGGTTTTATTGAGAATATCTCAAAGTGATATTTGCTCCATTTTTTTGTGGATCTGATCTTTGGCTTTAAACACGTGATATGATTGTGATCCGGACGTCTTTTCTTTGTGTTTGTTGTTCTGTTCATGAGAACTGATAAAGAAGTTGTTAGCATTAAGTGCTCGTTAGCATTAAGACAGGCTGTTGCTCTCCGTCCTGCTTCAGAGGCCAAACTGCGTGCAGACGTTCATCATCATCGTTTACAGTCTCTAGAAAGATCTATAAGAAGAGGTCAAGTATTAATCATTACCAAAAAGACAGTTTATGGCTCTTCTAAAAATGAGACAAATAATTATTTTGGAGGTTTGACCACCTAAACACAACAACAGGAGACGTGTGTTGGTCTACGTTCACACACATCATCTCAGAGGACGGATAGAAACACACAGTGTCAAAGCTTCATGGTGGGAACTATCAAACACACCTTTCTTTACATTGGGGCTGGAACACGGTGTGATATCACTGATGCTGTGGTTGCTGAGGTACCGCTATGTGCGTGTGTGTCTACACATGCCTGCATTGATGTTCACACTTCTTGCTGTTTCCTCGTTCAGCCTCTGATTCTCTGTTGATCTACTCACCACAAATAAACTGCTTTGTGTGACTGCTGTTTGGTGGCTGTATGAGAAGAAAACCAGACCTGGATGAAGGTGTGTTTCCATATCCTGTGTCATGAACGTTTATTTACTTTTACTTTATACTTTTACTTGTTTCCATTTCAGCCCGCTGCTGCAGTTTGACTAAATCTGACCTCTCATGCAAGTCTATATAAAAGAAGGATTTTCCAAATAATAGTTATTAATTTAAACCTCACTTTTGAAATTCATTTTGATTATGTAATAACCAATTTTTGGATTTTAGATTTACATTGACAAAATGTCTCCACACGCGCGTGTCCAGGTAGTGGCCTACTTGTTGCACCCCATCATCCTAAACTGTCATCAACCATCTGCTGGAGGCGGCATCTTGGCCTAAATCAACTGTTTAAGGAGTAAACCGTACTCTTGTTTGTAGGTCCTGTTCAGTCTTTAATTAGTGAAACAGCCACCCAGCGGACTGACCTCGTCTTTGCATACAGTTGGAAATATTTTGTAGTAGTGTATTTCAACATTGCATATCAATTTCAAATCAAGATGGCCCTTGACCTCGTTCTGTTTGTTCAGGACATCTTGGGGAAAACAGCAGCCATCTTGGCTCTGTATGATGTGTAACAGAATGAGGCTCCATCATTATGGCGTTATATTTGTGCCACAATCCTGAGCGCGTAATTTTAAGTTTTGAGCACAGAAAACTATATTTTAGCAAAGAAAAACATATTCCGTGCGCGCAGTTTACTGAGGTGCCCTCGCCACAAACTGGTTTTCTGCGCGCAGGCAGCGGTTGCTGCGCTCTCTCCACCTCTTCACTCTGCGCTCGCTCGACGGTTCACTCACGCGCTCGCTCGACTTGCAGCAGCGTTACATTTGTGCCACAAAACCAACCAATCAGAGAATTAAAGAAGGTCCATTGTGATTGGCTGTTGGTCTCCAATCACAACGCTTCCTAAAGAAGACGAAAACGAGTGATATTAGAAGTCCGGCTAGCCACCATCAGACATGAAGCAAATGATGTGAACACCAAGTGTTTTAATCCAGGCCATTAGCATTTAGCACAAATGCTGCAAACCTCAACAACTCGCTGAGCTTCCGCGATGCTGTAGGTAGTTCTACTAGCGTTGTGATTGGAGACCAACAGCCAATCACAATTGACCTTCTTTAATTCTCTGATTGGTTGGTTTTGTGGCACAAATGTAACGCTGCTGCAAGTCGAGCGAGCGCGTGAGTGAAACGTCGAGCGAGCGCAGCGTGAAGAGGTGGAGCGAGCGCAGCAACGGCTGCCTGCGCCCAGAAAACCAGTTTGTGGCGAGGGCACCTCAGTAAACTGCGCGCACGGAATGTTTTTCTTTGCTAAAATATAGTTCTCTGTGCTCAAAACTTAAAATTACGCGCTCAGTATTGTGGCACAAATATAACGCCATACATCATGACATATTCTTGAGGTCACAAACTCTATAGCGTCTGGGTGGATTCTAGCTTGTGATATGTACAGGAAACTGCCTGAAAACAGCAATTATGTCTGGTTACAGATAAACAGTCTTCACAGCCATAAGGAAATGTTACATCCTTGTGTAGAGTGTTGATGCCAGAGTAGGTGCTGAAGTTAGATGTTAGACAAATGTAAAATGGAACACTTTAGGGACCAAAGAAATATTGTCACCTATATCATTCATGTTTAGTGGAAGTTTTGGGTTTGTCACATTGGCTGTAAAATAGTACAGTCTTTAGACTTGGCCAGTACCGGTCCCGAGACTCATGACCCCGACGCCGCCAGTACCGGTCCCGAGACTCATGACCCCGACGCCGCCAGTAACGGTCCCGAGACTCATGACCCCGACTTGGCCAGTACCGGTCCCGAGACTCATGACCTCGACTTGGCCAGTACCGGTCCCGAGACTCATGACCCCGACGCCGCCAGTAACGGTCCCGAGACTCATGACCCAGACGCCACCAGTACCGGTCCCGAGACTCATGACCCCGACGCCGCCAGTACCGGCCCAGAGACTCATGAGCCAGACGCCGCCAGTACCGGTCCCGAGACTCATGACCCCGACGCCGCCAGTACCGGTCCCGAGACTCATGACCCCGACGCCGCCAGTAACGGTCCCGAGACTCATGACCCCGACGCCACCAGTACCGGTCCCGAGACTCATGACCCCGACACCGCCAGTACCGGCCCAGAGACTCATGACCCAGACGCCACCAGTACCGGTCCCGAGACTCATGACCCCGACTTGTCCAGTACCGGTCCCAAGACTCATGACCCAGACGCCGCCAGTACCGGTCCCGAGACTCATGACCCCGACGCCGCCAGTACCGGTCCCGAGACTCATGACCCCGACGCCGCCAGTAACGGTCCCGAGACTCATGACCCCGACGCCACCAGTACCGGTCCCGAGACTCATGACCCCGACTTGTCCAGTACCGGTCCCAAGACTCATGACCCAGACGCCGCCAGTACCGGTCCCGAGACTCATGACCCCGACTTGTCCAGTACCGGTCCCGAGACTCATGACCCAGACGCCGCCAGTACCGGTCCCGAGACTCATGACCCCGACGCCGCCAGTACCGGCCCAGAGGCTTATGACCCCGACTTGGCCAGTAACGATCCCGAGACTCATGACCCCGACGCCGCCGTCTTTTTGCTTTTGCCCATCCCCACAGTCACCCCCACACTCACTCCCTCACTCATCTGACCGACCGGCTGGTCCTCACCCTTCCCCACACTCACCCCCTCACCCACCTGACCGACCGGCTGGGCCTCACCCATTCCCTCACTCGCCCCCTCACCCAGCTGACTGTTTGGTCGTCGTGGCGCAGGGGTTAGAGAAGGTGTGCTGGGAAGCACAAGGTTGGTGGTTCGAGTCCAGGTTGCCCAATGTTCCATGTCAAAGTGTCCCTGAGCAAGACACCTGACCCCTAATTGCTCCCCCTGCAAAAATGTGAAAAAGCCATGGGTTTAAAGTGTAATGTAAGTCGCTTTGGATAAAAGCGTCTGCTAAATGACCTGTAATGTAATGACCGACCGGCTTGGCCTCACCCATCCCTACAGTCACCCCCACACTCACCCCCTCACTCATCTGACCAACCGGCTGGGCCTCACCCATCCCCTCACTTGCCCCTTCACCCACCTGACCAACCGGCTGGGCCTCACCCATCCCCACAGTCACCCCCTCACCCACCTGCTGGGCCTCCCCCATATCCTCACACACAAGACTGACTCGCTGGTCCTCACCTGCCCCCTCTTCCTCCCTGGCCTCCCCCTGGTTCTGGTCCCGAAGTGGAGGGGTTCTTCTCTGGACAAACCGTCGCCAGGTGTCCCTTCTTCACCACAACGGAAAAACCTCCCATCATCCGATGTGGCAAACATCACATAGTTGAAGCCCTTGACCCTCATCACAGAGCCTGGGCTTTGGTGAGGACCATGTGGAGCTGTCTCCTGTGAGACACCACATGTCTTAGCAAAAGAAACCTGCACCCTGAGGACACTTCTTTATCTGGGACACAACCTTCCTGTGATTCACCAGCTCAGATAGAGGATAAATAGTTGGCTCCAAAAATAGATTAGATATGGTTTGCTTGAAATCAATGTTTGATAAAAGAGGTTCAAGTAAGGAAGTTGGAGAGATTAGAAAAAGCCGTAGAGAACGTCTCCATCCAGAAGTGATCTACCAGCTGTGCTAGCTAATACACGAGGCCTCCTCATATACTGCTGTACACGGGAAATCTCTAAAGAGACATTGTAGGTGTGCAGTTTGATTAATGTTTGTTTTAACATCTCGATCATCTCACAACTGACAAAGATGAAAAATGTATTAAACAGTTAAACGTTTTAGCTTGTTACTTTATATTCAAGTGTCACATGTATTACTTTAAAAGTGTACTTTTCATTTAGCAAACCAGTGCAAACAGGTTCACTTGTGCATTGATGAATCTGCTGGATTAAACACACAAGTTAAATGTTTAAAGTTAACATGGTTCAAATGTATAGGCAATGTACCCAATCCTGTTTTAGGTCTTTCCTTTATTCAAACCTTTATTTAAATATTTGGTCACTGTGCTGAACAAAGACATGTCTTCTAGTAGATGTTTTCTTATAGACTATAAACAGTTACATTACTTCTTCACTGCAAATAAAGTTAATTAACTTACAGGAATCAGATATTGTCACACTAATTGGCCAGCCGGTCAGAGCCAATGAATGCAGTAATAGAATACAGCAGCTGTAGCAAACGTACAATCAGGATTTAGCTCAGTGTCATTTAGTTTGTTCAGCTTCTTATTTCACATTATTTGCTTCATCATTTAACCTTTTCAATAGAGGCCAGCAGAGTTCCTCTGGTGTGGCCAGATGTTACTCTCGTTTCCCTTTTTTTTGTAATCCCAGAATTTTCTCTCACTGCAAGAAATCATCGTCCATCCAAAAGTGCTGCACTACGTTGTTCAGACAAACGGCCGATGTCGAGTGAGCCTGTGAGCCCACTGACCGCGGTGAAACCACACTGCACGCTGCCTGCACGCAAAAGACGCCCGCGTGCAGAGCAGAGCATCTCACAGTCAGGATGTGGTCACACATATGACAGAAATAACCTTAGTGTAGCTGAGAGGGCCGTTGGACATAAATACATCTAATTGACAAACGAGCATTCTTTTCAGTGAGCGAGTGGAGACTCTTACAACGAGAACAATTTAAAAAACTTTAAATATTTCCACGGATTACACTTCAGCAGTCACTGGTCCACAGCTTCAGTCTGTTGAGCTCTGCGGCCGAATGACGAGCTGTTTGTCACTGTGGGTTTCCTGTTATTAAGCTACTCAGTCATTGTATCTCACGATGCCGTTAAAGGCATGTGTGGGGCTGATGGCAAACTAGATATAAAAACTGAAAATGATCTGAAAACAGCTTTCGTGTCTCTTGATGGAAACACAATCATCACCGTCATGAAATGTTGATATCCATTGAAAATGTGAACTTGAAGCTGGATTGTGATCAACAACAACAACTAAGAGGTTTTCTGTCTGTATGTTAATGTCCCCATCTGATCAATTTGGAACTTAAATCTAAAGAGCAAACAAACCAGCAAAGATGAAATTCATTGGGTGTAAATATCTTCTCCTGAATTCAGTTTAGATGCAGTGTTGTTCTGACAGGACTGACGGCCGGGCGTCTCAATTTTATTGTCCTTGTTTTGTCAATGGAGACATGTTCTGCTTAAGTTGAAGGCCTTTGCTGGTCGGTGTTATAGGTGCTGTGATCCCATCATTAGATGTTGTAGAGTCGTGGTTGTTATTTTTCTTTTTTACACTCTACATCCTCGAAGTATTGATGGCAGAATAGGTGCTGAAGTCAGAACTCTGGATTTTCTTCTTTGGTCTGTGTGATGTCTGTTGGATTTCCAGTGCAGCATAGCACACATCTTCATCCTGAAATTTGACATTTGTTCTTTAGAATCGTGACCGTGTACTGATTTATTGCCATGAATCAGTACTTTCTTGTGTTGTAACTCCACTTCATGTGTCTGATCACTTCTTCATCTCTTACTCCCTTCCACTCTCTATAACTAACAAACCTCCCTCATTGACTAACTCTATACCGGCTCGTCGCAATATTCGCTCCCTCTCTCCCTCTCGCTGGCATCCTCTGTTCTATCAGCTCTCCCTTCAACTGACTCCTTCTCACTCTTGCATCCGAACGCTGCTGCAGAGACTCTCCTCTCAACTCTTTCCTCCTCTCTAGACTCTCTCTGCCCTCTTACGACACGACGGACTGGCAAATCCCCTCCGGCTCCGTGGCTGTCTCAACCGGTCCGTGCCATGAGAGCCACCATGCGAGCGTCGGAAAGGAGATGGCGTAAATACAAACGACCTGACGACCTGCTTGAATTTCAATCTCTCCTCTCCTCATTCTCTGCCTCTATCTCTGCTGCCAAAAGCTCTTTCTACCAGTCCAAAATCGAATCCTCATTCTCTAACCCCAAAAAACTCTTCTCGATCTTCTCCAATCTCCTCGAACCCCCTACCCCTCCTCCCCCCTCCACCCTTCTTCCGGGAGACTTTGTCAACTACTTCACCAAGAAAATAGCTGACATACGCTCCTCCTTCTCAAACCCACCACCTACTTCTCGCGTCCCACCGACCTCACCTCTTTCGCCCTCACTTCCCTCTTTCACCGCCCTCTCTCCTAACCAAATTCTTACCCTAGTAACCTCTGCCCGTCCGACCACCTGCCCTCTTGACCCCATTCCATCACATCTTCTACAATCTATCGCACCTGACCTTCTTCCGTTCCTTACCTTTCTCATCAACAACGCTCTGTCATCTGGCTGTTTTCCCAATTCTCTGAAGGAGGCAAGAGTCAACCCTCTCCTGAAGAAACCCACCCTCAACCCTTCTGAAGAAAACAACTACAGACCGGTCTCTCTTCTTCCCTTCTTGTCCAAAACCCTTGAACGTGCTATCTTTAATCAACTCTCCTCTTATCTCCACTGTAACAACCTCCTTGACCCCCACCAGTCAGGTTTCAAGGCAGGCCACTCTACAGAGACTGCTCTCCTTGCTGTCTCTGAGCAACTCCACACTGCTAGAGCCGCCTCTCTCTCCTCTGTCCTCATCCTTCTGGACCTCTCTGCTGCATTTGACACGGTCAACCACCAGATCCTTATTTCCTCCCTTCAGGAACTTGGTGTCACAGGCTCTGCTCTCTCCCTTCTCTCGTCCTACCTCGATGGCCGCACCTACCGGGTAACCTGGCGAGGATCTGTGTCGGAACCTTGTCCTCTTACTACTGGAGTTCCTCAGGGTTCCGTGCTCGGTCCCCTCCTGTTTTCGCTTTACACCAACTCTCTTGGCGCTGTCATTCGCTCGCATGGCTTCTCTTACCACAGCTATGCCGATGACACCAATTAATTCTCTCCTTCCTTCACTCGGACACCCAGGTGGCGGCTCGGATCTCTGCCTGTCTACTGACATCTTCTCAGTGGATGTCCGCCCACCATCTGAAAATCCACCCCTGACAAGACTGAACTACTTTCTCTTTTCCGGAAAGAACTGGCTACCCCAGGACCTGAAAGTCAACTTTGGAAACTCTGTGCTAA